ATCGCTCCAGAGACACGGACGGAACCTAGTTCTGCACCAGCAAGCGCCCCCAAGGTGAGGAAAGACTCCAAGTGTGTGGAGCCGCCTGTCTTCAATTTCTTTATATTTTTCTCCATCTCGTCCGTCAGGTGAGGTGGGCCTATATTGGGAGGATATCTGTTCCACCGTTCGGGAAGTTCACCCTCAGGGAATTGGAGGAAGAAGTAATGATGCTTCCTGTCGTGGATGTAGGTAGGAGCCCCATGAAACAACCTCCGACCACAGAGGGCATAGATGCTCAAGATTCCGTCAGAATTTTGTGGGGAATCCTTGAAAAAATAGTGGAAGAGGTCTAGGCTCAGCTCGATGCCCTTGCTTTTGCATCGCGCAATGAAGTATTAGACAAATCGGAATGAGTTCGGCATAAATAACGCGGGGACGACCTGATACCGGCGAAATAAGGTAACGTAGAATGAGTGAAGGGGAACACGCAGCCCGATCGTTAGTGAATCAAGGTGAACCATCAGCATTTTCGGGCGTTTACTCAACGGATGTGCGCCCCCTTCAAACTGTAGATGTTCAGAGGAGGGAGGTATAATGCCAATTCCGGCAGCGCCATGCTAGAGAAGAACTGATCGATGCCATGAGCATTTTGTAAAGGGGCATGATGATGTGGAACGTCATCCTGGGGCATGCCCTGCTCATAGACCGTCAGATCGTCGCCGTCATAAGCCTCATCGTCCGAATTGACACCCTTGTCATGGACCTCGATGGCGCCTCCCTGAATGCCCGCTCCCTAAACGGTGTTCGCAACATCCCCGTGGACGTCTGCTCCTTGTACAATGTTCGTGGCATCGTCAATAAGTATTCTAGATGGGACTAACTGCCGGGAACCACCAGAGGAACTCACTCTGTTATCCGAGTGGTATTTAGTCCCAGAACCCAAGGACAAAGATCCAGAGCCGGAAGACGAAGTCCCGGAACCAGTAGAAGAAGAACCGGAAGTCATATCTTCTTGGAGATTCGCTGGTGACCTTTGTTGAAGCATTTGTCCAACACCAGAAAGCTATAAAATAATAAAATACTATATAAGACTTTGAGCTACTCCTCCTATCAGGTTGACCTTTTAGGACGGAATCCCGGGTCTTAACATGGTATCAGAGCCAATTCCGGTTGTGGTTTGACTGCTTGTTTAGCACCCATGATTACAGGTAGCTTGTTAAGTGTCTGTTTTGCCCATTTATACATCCCAATATTGTCCATCCCGGTTCGGGTTGAGGGGGCGTGTTGAAGTATTTGTCCAACACCGGAAAGCTATAAAATAATAAAACACTATATAAGACATTGGACTATTCCTAATATCAGACTAACCTTTTAGCATAGAACCCCGGGTCTTAACAACCTTTGCCAAGAAAAAAGAAGAAGAGGAACCAGGAGAAGGAATTACCTTGGAAATGCTTGAGGAAAACCGGGAAGCCGGAGGGCGTTGGGAAAGGATCTACAACAGCTTGAAAGCATGCTTAATCATCAACTAAAAAATTGACTTATTCATTAAGCTGGAAAATAGTAGTTTTCCCATTAATACGTCTATTAAGATGTCTTTTCTATCAATTTTTTTAAATGGACTATGAAATAGATTTATGTTTATAAATGAAATTTATCGTTGGCCTACATTACAACTCAAGAATAATAATAAATTGATTATTTACTTAATTCAGACTATTTATTCAACGTGCAAAATGAACAGGGGCGGACCGTAGTAGAGACCCAGGGGGGCTACCGCCCCCCCAACAATTTTTTTTAGTGTATATATATACGAAAAATGATTTTTTGCTCTTCCAAAAAGTATTTTGAACCCCCCAAAAAATATTTTCGCTCCCCCCCAAAATGACTTTCCTGGGTCCGCCCCTGAAAATGAACAACCTCATATACCAATATCACATAATCCTCACACTAATTATACACGACCACTCATCTTATCCATAACTACCTCAATCTCTTTAAATATTACTCCTATATGTCTTGGATCCCAAAATCCATTATGTAATTTAATATTTTCAAATCAAAATGGGTTGATCAACATGGGTTGACCCTTCAAGCTCAACCTCTTGGATTATTGGTAGGGTTGGTCGGTTTTTGACAATATCATCAGTCTAGAATAACCAAGAGGCTTGTGTGGGGTTGGTTACTGACGGTGGCAAGATAGAAACATGAGTTAGCTACATTGAGAAGATCTAAATACCCAAAATACCCCTCCATATAAAAACAAAACGTTTTTTCTCGCCCGTCCTCCTCGTCGGGTCTCATTCAAACGTCAATTCACCGGAAAGCTTAAACCCCCATTATGATATTGTAATCATGTTAATCACCTATATCCTCAAAATGGTGCTGTAATTACGTAAATTAATCACCCTAACGTTAACCTCCGTCAGTCAACGCATCGCAGTATCTCTGTTTATTACTAAAAAGCCCTTGTCCTTTTCGGTCTATATCTCCTTTAGAAGTACTGTAGTAGTATATCTCCTCCTTATTCCGCTTCAAATTAATTTCTCCCTCAATACTCTCCACCCAAATTCGAAGCAGTGAAGTAGGAATAGAAATGGAGCATCCATTTTTCATCCCGAACCCTAACATGACGGAGGCGGCTTCGCGGTGGCTGAGCATCGCCGAGAAGTTGCTTGCGAACCGTGACTTGATGGGGAGTAAATCGTTTGCGACCCGGGCGCAAGAGTCCGACCCGACCCTCGTTCACGGCGGTCAAATCCTCGCTATCATCGACACTCTCCTCGCCGGCGACAAGCTCATACACAATCAGCTCGATTACTACGGCATCCTACAGGTGCCGCCTGACCAGACCCATGACTCCGATTTGATCTCTAATCAGTATCGCCGACTAGCCGTCCTCCTTGACCCTCGGAAGAACAGCTTTCCTTATGCCGACCAAGCATTCCGTCTCGTGTTTGATGCTTGGAATGTGCTCTCCGACCCGCTCAGGAAAAGCATGTATGATAAAGAGCTAGGGTTCTTCATAAACCTCAACCCGAATCCTGTTTCTGCCGCTCTGAACCCGATACCCCCTCAGCAGCAGTCGCCGAATGCTTTCACCGTCGTTTCTAACTCCGGGAGAGACCAACATCAGCAGGCGCCGCCGCAGCAGATGTTCTTCACGAGTAGAGAGCAGCAGCAGCAGCAGTCGTTTGCCTCCGGGCAACAGCTAACCTTTCCGAGTCGTGAACCGGTTCAGCAGCACCCAGTTCATCAACAACCGGTTCAAACAATGACCTTCTTGCAGCAGCCGTTTTCCGGCAGGGATCAACAGCAACCCCAACCTCAACAGGCTCAACCGTTTACATTTCTGAATCGTCAACAAAGCCCTCAGGTAACCTCTATTCCCAGAATGAATGTAGATAAACTGCCTTCTGTCACCCCTGTGCCGGGTTTGAGTAGAGAACCACAGCCATTTTCATTTGGTCCTAGTTCTGGTCATGCCCAACTACCGCAGGTCTCTCCCACTGAGAGCTCTTCTCTGTATCATGAAAGGAATGTGCGAAATGTGGGTTTTGAAGGAAATAACCTATCTGATGATAATGTGAACCAACCTAAAGAAAAAGAGAGTGAGGTAGATGAAACAAACAATGTTGAACTAAACGAGGATGAGCCAAAGAATGACATACCTAGCTTCTGGACTGCCTGCCCATACTGTTATCACATGTTTGAGTATCCTGAGGCTTATGTTGACTGTACATTGCGCTGCCAAAATTGCAAAATGGCATTCCAGGCTGTGGTGATTTCGTCTCCACCTCCAATTATTGATGGTAAGGAAGCTTACTTTTGTTGTTGGGGATTTTTACCCTTGGGATTTTCTGTATCTATTTGGGAGAAATATAAGGATAAGGCAACATCATGGACTCCATTTTCTCCCATGTTTAGTATGCCTCAAGCCGGTGGGGCAAATGTAGGAAATGTGTATCACTCTGTTGTCAGGCCGGGGAATGGTAACAACCGTAGTGGATATGGTGGGAGTGGAGTAAAGAAGCAACATCAGAAAGTAATCGTTGATGATGATGTGTATGTGAACTTGTTATCTGACTCTAACGACGAGTCTGATGTGGAATGGAGAAATGAGAGTAGTACGAAGAGAAAGAAAACAAAGAGAGTGAAGGGAAAGGTTAGGGTGACTGGAACCCCGAAAACCACTAGGAAGATACTACCTGAGAATGGAAAGAATGTAAAAGCTAATAATGCTGGGGATAGTTTTCAAAATGGGCCCCGCATGCCAGCTGAAAAGGTCAAGAAAGGTGTGGTGAACAACATAAGGAGGCAATCTGGCAGCGCTGCTAAAGGAAAACTTGATTTGAATGTGGAGTTCAGTAATGAGGTTGAGGAGCCCCCACCGGTAATGAATGGACAAATGGGAAGAGGAGAGGAAGATGGAATTGAAGGGAATGGGTTTTTTGAGGGTCTTGATGAATTCCTAAGCAGTCTTCCTATTCTGAATGCTGTTGGTGATGAGAATAAGGTTAAGGCAGCTTAGCCAAGTTTAGACTTTCCCTTTTGTTGTAATTGTAGCCCTCTAGTCTAGCTTTTGCCCTTTTTGTATGTAGTAAGGGAACAGCATAAGCAGTGTCCTAATGGCTTGCTCTACTCTAAACATTTGCATTTTGTATGTTTTTATGGAACAGTGTAGAGCTGCTTGGATGCTTATCTTGATTGTTTTTCTCCTGTAGCTTTTGCGCTACAAATAAGGTGGAAGTTAATCTTCTTCTTTCTGTTTTTATTTTGTTTTGTTTTATTTTTTATTTGTTGTAGTTGCAATTATCAGTTTAATTTTTTTGTTTTCTTTACTCAAGCGGTGTAACTGAAAAGGCTAGCAGCTTAAGGTGTTTTACTCTGTTCTTTTCTCTCTGATATTTTAGGCTACAATTTTGCTTCTGTAATACGGAGTATAACAATAGGAACTGCATTGCTTTACTGTGGTTGTATTTTGCAGGAACCGATTGTCCACCCATTGAGTTTTGAATAGAAAGAATCTTATTTTAGCTGTAATTACTTGATTATGTGAGTTCTTGTCTTGTAGAACAACTTATCTGCATACTAAAAACTTGCTGTGTTTTTTAGATACAAGTCTTTTAGAACAACTGGACAACATAAAAGATTGGAACTTTTTGTGCCTTTTATACTGAACATTGAACAATACTTGCTACTCGTATTTTGTTAGATTAGAATATCAATCAAGGGATTCACAGATCACTTGCATTAGTTCCCATTCTTGGAAATTGGAGTCCCTTGTTTCTGATTTTGTCAAATGAAAATTTTAGCGTCTATGCCTCTACGCCTCTACGGTATTATTGAGTGTGATGAACTGATTATTGTAAAATTAACATTTTCCCAAGTTGGTTCCTGATTCACCCTTTTACTTCTTTGGGTCTAAACAGTAAAAACAGTTTTTCTTATTTGAATTTTACCTACAACTCATGTCATAGAACTACAAAACGGAAAATTAAGTCTGTACACCTTTTGAAATATACACAAACATGATCTTTAGAGGGTGCAGCAACAACAAATGAAGCATGGATTATGGATATGAGAACTTTGTTGGCTGCAGGTGCCAAGGACGCAGAGTTGCTTGAAGGAAACAATAACAGTGGACAATCACCGATGAAGAGAGAAAATAACTTTGGCTTCAATGAATTGCTCTGGAGGAAATGAACTACACAAATGTTATAGGGTATAAAGGAGTTTCAAGCGATCAACTGAATCAAATTGTTGCCCTTTTCAAGGGAAACATCCAATTACCAAGTAATAGTATTAGTTAAAGAAGCTAATTTTTGTCAAAGAACTTAAAAATTTCCCAAACGCAAAAAGTGTGGAAGAAGCAAAACATGGACCAGAAGGGGCTGAGAGTGTGGGTACGGCGGTACTAAACGGATGGAAGGAAGTCCACAAGAAACAGAACAAGGAGGCTAATATGAGAGAGTAGAAGAAGTGGAGCAAGCCGGAGAGGGGATATATAAAAATAAATGTAGACGGAGCTTTGGGTCAAAGCGACATGAGGAGGGGTGTTGGCTTAGTGGCTAGAGATGACGAGGGGCATTTTATTGTGGGGATGAGGAAGAGCTTTGTTAGGAGCATGGGAGCAACGACTACTGAGAACCTGGCTATCGGAGAAGGTGTGGAGTGGGCTATGCATCAAGGATGAAGACATGTAGTAATTGAGTCAGATGCTTTGCTGGCCATCCAGGGCGTGCAGGGATCGGGAGACTATTCCTATGAGGCTTTGTAGCTGATGGTATTAGATGCTGATATTTATGTCTAGTACGTGCGACGATCAGCGAATAAAGTTGTTGATGCTTTGGCTAAGCAAGCTATTTTTGAACCTGATTGTCTTTGATTTGATATACCACATACTTGTATTTGTGGCCTTCTTTTGAAGGATATGCATGATTAATATATTTGATGTTTTTGTTTCAAAAAACATTTCCCAAACGCGGCCAAAATGTGGATGTGAGTCCTGGAGTGTTTTTAATTAATATGTGTGTCTTATTAGGTAGTATTTAAGTATAGGAGTTTAATTAATGATTTTGATAGAGTATATGATTCCGTTTGATAGTTCAATCTCATCTTCACCGGATTAATAGATGAGATTGATATCCTCTTGTCAAATATAGAAAAGATTTTCCTAAATTGAGCAAACAGTGTAGTTAACCATATGAGAGTTTTGAAGAATTCTTCGGCTCCTACAGCTTTGATATTTCTAATCCGGTGAACCCTAACCATCCCAAACCTGGCATAGATCTTCACACCGGACGATCCATAATGAAAAATAAAGTGGCTACAATAGAGTACGAAGTAAAAAGCGAGTTTAATATAAGGTAATAAAAAATAATGTACTAGTATCCTTCTTGAGTTGTCAACTTGCACATCCCTCTTTAGAAGCCAGCTTCCTCAATCCCCATCAATCATGGTGAGCCAGCATGTCATGTCCCAGCCCACCTGCTTCCCATTTTTAGATCAACCATCTTGATCTTCATTTTCGCACCACAACTAGATCCCTCCCCTTTCTCGAGGCGATGTCACTTTCATTTGAGTTTCCTTGCATCTCGCCCCGATATCACATCCATCATCTAGAACCCTTCCTTCCTAACACTCGTCCCCCCTGATTTCATCTGGCTTGTAGCATCTTCAAATTCATTTGACTTTCCTGCACCTGTCGTCACTCTCTACGAGAAGAGAGAAGAAGACAGCAAAACAAGCACAAAAAACCCTACACACGATAGTCGCCTCGGTACATCCGCAATAGATATTTGGAAAATGATTTATGAAACACTCGTTAAACTTTATTTATATTATTATTATTATTATTATTACCATAATAGTACTGCATTGCAATTTTGATGTTGATGGATTCCAACAATGTAAATACACATTTTATAAGGGCTCTAAACAGAGCCAGAAATGTCAGGTTGGGGTGCCAAAAATTAAAATTTCAATAATTCTTTTATTGTTTATAAAAACCATGCTTAACGGGAGAACCGTGAGAACACTAATTTTAACTCAATGTGATATACTATAACATTTGTACAACACACTTTTTCAAAACATGATAACATCAAATAAATAAGGTGGCAAATTCGTAAATATTTCGTCAACACGAAAAAGTGTAACGTACAAACGTTAGTGTATCACATTGAGTTAAAAGTGGTGTTCTCACGTTAAACGTGATTCTCATTTGATTGTAAATCCATACATACATCACAATTTTTTCTCAGGGAGACTAATGCTCTATTTGCCCCTCCATGTTTCCACACCCATTCTAAACAAATGTAATTAATTAATTATATGTAGGAATGGGTTGAAATTATAAATTTAGAATATTTTGGGTCATCCAATAAACAGATATTAAACGTTGAGTACGATTTGTTTATAATTTCATAAATAAAAAACTCTGTTTGTCCCATAAAATTTTTCCCACTTACGATTTTGGGATATCTCAAAAATTCTTCCAATTTCCCTTTTTGGAAAATTTTGTGTAGTTAACATTCAATTACTTTTTTTACTCAACGACAACCATGCATTTCCACTTTATTTACACTTTCTTAAATTCTGATCTAAGTTAAATTGACAAAATATACCATACAACCAGCAGTAACGTGCACAAGATACAACCGAGTATTTTAAGTTTAGAAAAATGAGTACAATGTTTAAATTAAAAGAAATGAGTACTGGTAATAAATTATAAAATTAGCACACTAAATATTTTGATAATGATACAATGATAATATAGTTAAATGAATACATCGATATGTAACATACATATTACGTGTAGATCTGATACTCAATTGCTTGTTTTTAATACTTATATATTTTTATGGAGGGATATGCCGACGGAGTAGTACAGAGGCAGGTCCAAAATGTCAAAAAGTAAACGGGAAACTAGATGAAGATGTCTGTTTTACTTCGACCGTTATCAATGTCTTTCACAGTAAATTATTTTAACTGCACCACCGAAAATAAAAAGTAAACGGCAAACAGCACAAAAGCTGCGGAGGAACCGAGGAACCAAAGACGAAGCTGTAAGGAGAAGACCAAATGTTTATAAATCAGACAAAAATCGAAATAAACGGAAATATTCACAAAGCTGCGGAGAAACCAAAGACGAAGAAGCTGATAAAGGAGAAGACCAAATGGCCGCTCCTCTACCCCTGAATCAACCGTCGATCTCGCGTCAGCGTCCTTCGATCTCCCATTTCCTACTGCCGCCCATCTCGTTCGGCGTTCACCTCTCGTCACGGACTTCTTGGTAAAACTGCCTTTTTTTCTATACATTTGATATGGAAGCATTTTTATACTTTGGGATCAATTTTGAATTATTTTTTGTTATTGTTTAATTGCTTTGAATTCGAGATAAAACAAAAATACTTGCATGAATTTCCAGTTTTCAAATGTCTACAATGTGTATGTAAGAATGTCTCAATGAGATGTGAAATTGAGAATTGGATTTGATCTCCCACATGACTAGAGCATCTGATAGATTTTTTTGACCCGGGGTTAAGCATGGATCCATGGATTCCCATTTCATATCAAGAAACGTTATGATCCGTACAAAACCTGAAAGAAGCGAAAGAATTTTTACCATAGCATATCAATTTTTTTACAATGTGGTACAGTACTACTTCTATACCTCTAAGTGAGAAGCATCCATGAACTGCCAATTATATACTCCCTCCTGTCCCAAATGAAATTCACATTTTGATTTCACACAAATTAAGGAAATAAATTTTACTTTACTGTAGAGTACACTGTTGTGACATTGTTTCACACTGTTTTGCACTGTTTTACACTGTTTTGAGGTAGATAAGTTGCCAAATGTTAGACATGCAGCAAGGCAGTCGGTGGAATTTTATAATAAAGTGTATAAAAGAAGAGCTAATAGGGATGCTGCTAATAACTAATAACTAATAACTAATAACTAATAACTAATAACTAATAACTAATAACTAATAACTAATAACTAATAACTAATAACTAATAACTAATAACTAATAACTAATAACTAATAACTAATAACTAATAACTAATAACTAATAACTAATAACTAATAACTAATAACTAATAACTAATAACTAATAACTAATAACTAATAACTAATAACTAATAACTAATAACTAATAACTAACAACTAACGGGTTAGTTAGTTAGTTATTGTCCCTGCGTGGACATTACTATAAATAGAAGAGCTCAGCTAGCTGAAGGTAGTTTTAGACTATTGGCTAGAACAGGACTGGGAGATTAAGCATCTCGAATTGTCTACAGCTTGTATACTTTGATTTGGTGAATAAAGTGTGTGTATTGTGTGTTGTTCTTGAGAATTCTGTATTCGATATTGCATGATCTATCATTGGTATCAGAGCATTACGCTCCTGGAGATTACAGAAGTGAGAAGATCCAGAAGTTTTGTTCGTTCGAAGTTGAATGGTTAAAACGAGAGCAAAAATGGATCGCCGTTTGGATTCGATGGAACAAAAACATCAGGAGACGCAATCTGCATTGGAAGTTCTCACAGCTAAGATTGATGCGACGGCGGCACAGTTTCAGAACCGAGGAAGGTCGCGAACACCTCAAACTCATCATACGAGGAATTCGCGCAGTCCGATACACTCCAGAGGTAATTCGGTTAACTCTCCTGTCCATAATGCTCGACGTAACAATGAGTATATGAGAGCACAGATTAGAAAGGTAGATTTACCTTTATTCAATGGCGAAGGAGCCTATAATTGGATCATACGCATGGAGAGATATTTTCGTTTAAATCACATTGCGGAAGAAGAAAAAGTTGAAGCATCTATGATCACGATGGAGGATAGAGCACTTAACTGGTTCCATTTGTGGGAGAATCAAACTGAGGAAACAAGTTGGGATGCTTTGAAGAAATCTGTCATTCGCAGATTTCAACCAGAACTGATTCAGAATCCGTATGGACCAATGTTAAGTTTGAGACAAACTGGAAATGTGCAAGATTATCGAGAAGAGTTCGAAATGGTGATAGCTCCACAATTGCATATGGATGGGGAATTGCTGCGAGGGGTATTCATGTCAGGTTTGAAGGATGAGATAAAATCTGAGCTGAAGATGTATGCATCCAGGTCTTTAACTGAGATCATGGATAGAGCTGTACTTATTGAACAGAAGATGGAAACACAGTTTGGAAAAAAGAAGGAAGAGGACAAGCTGACAATAAGGGAAAGAGGTTCTGTACCAGTCAAGGGACAGAGTTGGGGAGATAATTCCAGAGTGAAATCTGGTTACAACTGGCCATCTCAGAGTAAAATTGTAGCTGAGAATAAGAATAATAATACTGGAATGGACAAGATTGGTAAGAAGACTATTGATTCTTACCCAACTGGATTTAAAAGAACAGGACCCCTGTTGTCTCAAGAGGAATTTCAGGAAAGAAGTAGAAAGGGGCTATGTTTTAAATGTGGTGAAAAGTGGAGTAAAGAACATACTTGTAAATTGAAAAATTTCAAGTTAATGTTGGTTGAAGAAGCAGATGAGGAAGAACAGTCAGAACAAATTGAAGTTACCATACCAGAAAATATCTGTGCAGTTATCCTTGATGAGCAAAGAAGGGATTCCTACCATGAGGGCTTTCAAAGTGCAAGGGATTCTGAGGGGAGAATCAAGAGATCAACATGTGAATGTGTTGATTGACAGTGGGGCTACCCACAACTTTATTTCACAGCAGTTGGTTGAGCAATGGAAACTGCCTTTTCAGACAGTTTCTGATTACAAAGTGCAGATTGGTAATGGGGATCATATATCCAATAATAAGAAGTGTCCTCAGTTGAGATTGAACCTACAAGGAGCTGAGATAATACAGGATTTTTATATCCTAAATTTAGGGGGCACTGATTTGGTATTGGGTATGGATTGGTTGACAAGTTTGGGAGATGTAGAGATAAACTTTCAGAAACAGAAAATTAAATGGAAACAGTGGGAGCAGGAGGTGTGCATTCAAGGAGATCCCAAACTGAATTCAATGGAAGTGTCATTGAAAACATTTTCACAAATATTATGTGATAATGGAGATGGTTATTTCTTATATTGTGAAGGAAAGAACATAGAAATGGAGCAAGAAGGAGGACTGGAAACCATTTGGAAACAGATTTTGGAAGAATTTCCAGAAATTACAAAACCTAGAGAGGGTTTACCTCCCAGAAGAAACTGTGATCACTCTATAACTATTCAGGAGGGAGCTAAGATACCTAATATCAGACCTTACAGGTACCCACAGTACCAGAAGACTGAAATAGAGAAGATTGTGAAAGAAATGCTTGATTCTGGGATCATCCAGAATAGCAATAGCCCTTACAGCAGTCCCATACTCTTAGCCAAGAAGAAGGATGGTGGATGGAGGTTCTGTGGAGATTACAGAGCCCTTAACAAAATCACAGTTCCTGACAAATATCCAATTCCAGTAATTGAAGAACTACTTGATGAACTTGGGGAGGCTACCATATTTTCTAAGTTGGATCTAAAATCTGGCTACCATCAGATTAGGATGAAAGAAGAAGATAGGATGAAGACAACTTTCAGGACACATGAGGGCCATTATGAATATTTGGTAATGCCCTTTGGTCTAACTAATGCTCCCTCTACCCTCCAAGCTTTGATGAACCAGGTACTAAGGCCTTATTTGAGAAAGTGTGCCTTAGTCTTTTTTGATGATATCTTGGTATACAGTAGAACTAAGGAGGACCACATAGAGCATTTGAGAGCAGTCCTATCTGCTTTGAGGGATAATCAGTTGGTGATTAACCCAAGGAAATGCTCTTTTGGACAACCTCAATTAGTCTACTTGGGGCATATTATTTCTGAAGTAGGAATAACAGTAGACCCTACCAAGATTGAAGCCATGGTTACTTGGCCAAAACCTCAGAATTTAAAGGAGTTGAGAGGGTTTTTGGGGTTAACTGGCTATTACAGAAAATTTGTAAAGGGGTACAGTAAGATTGCAGCACCCCTTACACAACTCCTAAAGAAAGACAGTTTTCAGTGGGGAGAACAAGCTACACAATCTTTTGAGGAGTTAAAAAGAACCATGACTTCACTCCCAGTCCTAGCTACACCTAACTTCAATAAGACATTCATTCTGGAGACTGGTGCTTCTGGAACTGGTTTAGGTGCAGTTCTCATGCAAGAAGGCAGACCTGTGGCTTTTATGAGCAAGATATTATCTAAAAGAAACCAAAACAGATCAGTCTATGAAAGAGAGCTCTTGGCTATTGTGTTAGCAATACAGAAGTGGAGACCCTATTTGTTGGGAAGAACTTTTGAGATTGTAACTGACCAAAAGAGTTTGAAGTTTCTGACAGAGCAAAGATTAATGGGTGAAGAACAACAGAAGTGGACTTATAAGTTGTTGGGGTACAATTTCATCATCAGATATAGACCTGGGATAGAAAACAGAGCTGCTGATGCTCTATCTAGAAGACCTATGCTCCAGTCTCTTTCAATTGTGACATGTCAAGAATGGGATGGGTTGGAAGAAGAATTGAAGGCTGACATCAAGTGTGCAGAGTTGATTCAGAAGGTGATTTCTTATCCAGATCAATATTCAGAATTTCAGATCATTAAAGGTTTGTTATATTATAACAAGAGACTAGTTCTACCTCAAGGATCACCCAGAATCATAAAGATCATGAGGGAATATCATGAAACTGCCATGGGAGGACATTCAGGATATTTTAGAACCATGAAGAGAGTATCCAGTGTTTTCTTTTGGCAAGGTATGAGGAAGGATATAAAGAAGTGGGTGGAAGAATGTGTGGTTTGTCAGACTAATAAATATCAAGCTTTGAAGCCTGCAGGACTACTACAACCACTTCCTATCCCAAATAGCATTTGGACTGACATTAGCATGGATTTCATTGGAGGATTACCCAAATCACAAGGAAAGGATACTATACTTGTAATTGTGGACAAATTAACTAAATATGCTCACTTTATTGCTTTATCACATCCCTACAATGCTAAGGAGGTAGCTGATGTGTTCATTAAAGAAGTGGTCAGATTACATGGGTTTCCTGAAACTATAGTCAGTGACAGAGATAGTGTTTTCCTCAGTGTTTTTTGGTCTGAACTATTCAAACTAGCTGGGACACAATTGAAGTACAGTACAACTTACCATCCTCAGATTGATGGTCAGACTGAGGTGGTTAACAGATGCTTGGAAACTTATCTCAGGTGTTTAACAGGAAGAAAACCAAAAAAATGGCTTAACTGGTTACATTGGGCTGAGTATTGGTACAATACCAACTATCATGCTGCACTGAAAAGTACTCCTTACAAGGCTCTATTTGGACAGGACCCTCCTGCAGTAATTAGAGGAGATGTTACAGTTACTGCAATAGAAGAAGTTTCAAAACTGACTGCTCAGAGGAATATGATATTAGATGAGTTGAAAGAGAATTTGGCCAAAGCTCAGAATCAGATGAGGCAGCAGGCCAATAAGCACAGGAGAGAGGTTACATTGGAGATAGGGGATCAGGTTTATCTGAAAATTCAACCTTATAAGCTGAGGAGTTTAGCTAAGAGGGTGAACCAAAAATTAAGCCCAAGATTTTATGGTCCATTTCAGATAATTGAAAAACTCAGTTCTGTGGCTTTTAAGCTGAAGTTGCCAGAAGATAGCAAAATTCATCCTGTGTTTCATATATCTTTGTTAAAAAAAGCTATCTCATCTACTACCTACTTTCAACCTCTACCCAAGTGTCTGAATGAAGAATGGGAGTTACAGGTGGTGCCAGAAGAAATTTGGACACAAGGGTTGATTCAGATGGTAATTGGGAAGTGTTGGTTCATTGGAGCAATCTGCCACAATTTGAAGATTCATGGGAGTCAATGAAAATGATCAAAGAACAATTTCCAGAGTTTCACCTTGAGGACAAGGTGAATTTCCAGGGGGGAGTATTGTTAGACATGCAGCAAGGCAGTCGGTGGAATTTTATAATAAAGTGTATAAAAGAAGAGCTAATAGGGATGCTGCTAATAACTAATAACTAATAACTAATAACTAACGGGTTAGTTAGTTAGTTATTGTCCCTGCGTGGACATTACTATAAATAGAAGAGCTCAGCTAGCTGAAGGTAGTTTTAGACTATTGGCTAGAACAGGACTGGGAGATTAGGCATCTCGAATTGTCTACAGCTTGTATACTTTGATTTGGTGAATAAAGTGTGTGTACTGTGTGTTGTTCTTGAGAATTCTGTATTCGATATTGCATGATCTATCACCAAATAAGGAAGGGAGAAGAAGTGTGAAGTTTATTTTGGACCTACCCAAAAAGGAAAGTGTGAATTTCATTTGGGACCGGAGGGAGTATGTGCATACATATATGCATACACATTACATACATACACATATACAGTACCAACACGCACACACATATAATTTGGTTTAAAAATATAATTTGGTTCACATAAAAAGTACTCCCTCCGTCACTCAATTATCTTCCAAATACGCTTTTGCCCGTGGATTAAGAAAATGAGATTTGTGTGGTGGAGAGTTGTACAGAGGGGAAAAAATGTGTAAGCAATGCGGTGAATCATATTTTTTTTGCCAAAAAGAAAAATGGAGATTATTTTGGAACTGACAAAAAAGTAAAGTTGGAAGATAATTCAGAGACAAAGGGAGTAAATCTTAGATGAAAATGAGAAATAATCTCGATCATTGAGGTAAGCAGATGGATGGACGAGATCAATTTTAAAGTAAAAATGCAGTGTCACTAATGTAAATATGAAAACTTCAAATTGAAATTTGGTGACAAAAGTGCACTGGAATATACAATGATGTATATACATCACAAAGTGTATCAGAATCTGAAATAAAATGTAAATAAGTTAAAAAATATGATAACCGTTTTCTAACACGTATGACTACACTTTTATGTACACATGATGCACTTTGAAACAGAAAACTATGCACATTAAAGTTCCACATAGTTGCAATTTTTGTCACAGCTTTTGTTTTTCAATTTTGTTTAATCCGTCATTTTAAGCGATTACTGGCTTATACACATGTATTTATGTATGTATATATATTTGTGTGTACGTATATGTTTGTGTATAGAGAGATAGAGAGAGGGGTAGAGAAGTCCACACCACCTATAAGCTAGTTCACTAGAATTGGTCCATTGACCTAAAATTGAGGGCATTCATGTAGTAATTAACTAATTACTCAATATGCCCTATATCTAAAATCACAGTTCAACTTGTAAAATTTTATGTGCTGTTTATGATTTTTTATATTTTCAGAGAAATGCATGGTACTGAAGAAATGTACCAAATCTTGGTACAAAATCTGAAATTCTAACATGTAATGTTTGTTTTTGGGATCGTATAAGTTTCTAAACTTTTAAAAGACCAATAGTTGGAAATGGGGTAGATTTTAATAAATAAATAACCTTAAGGCGTACCATCCAATGTTACGCCTTAATTAGAACACTTTTCATTTAACTTTAGTTATGTTCTTTGGAGACATGTACAACCCGTCCAACTACTGTACATAATTAAGTAACATTTGGTTGTATTATCATTAGATCACATATGCAGAAATATTTGGAATATGGTACATCTTCCACACTAGTTGATGGTCAATTATATATGGATAAGGTTTTAATGCTGCCTTAAGATCAAATCTTAAATGTTTGTTTCCATTGTTTACAACTTTACATTTGACATGCATTCATGCCTTATTCGAGATGTTTTCTCAGAAAATTAAGTTCATTGAAATGCAGGAAGAGTTCGTTTTTCAGATCGAAATCTAGGGTTTCTTCATCTTCTAATAGTTCATTTTTCAGATAGAATATGTCCAACTTTTGTAGATAAATAAGTAATGTTTGGTTGTATTACTATTAGATTACATATGTAGAGAATAAGGTACATTTCCACACTAGTTGATGGTCAACTATATATGGATAAGGTTTTAAAGTAGCCTAAAGATCAAATCTTGAATGTTTGTTTTCATTGTTTACAACTTTACATATGACATGCATTCATGCCTTATTCAAGACCATATATCAGAAAATTAAGTTTATTGAAATGCAGGAAGAGTTCGTTTTCCAGATTGGAATCTTACAGAGGTCTTATGAGTCAGACTCGGGAAACTGATTATGATGAACAGGAAGGCACTATGTTAACTGACGGTGCTTCTGGAGTCTTCACCAAGATGAAAGATCGTTTTTTGAGCTTCAAGAAGGATAAGTACATGTATGAAATGCACATTCATAATCTGTTCCTTCATGTTAAGCAGTTATGGGTGCCACAGTCTGACTCATTGTTTCTCTTCCTAAAATAGGGCCAATCTAGAACACTTTAGAGGTCTTGCCAAAGCCCAAGCACCAAAGGTAGTAGTTCCACTTTTGTTTCTTGTTTTGGGAGATCTATTTTTTTGTTTTCTTCGATCTGATTAGTTTAAGACTGGTCAAGTACGACATAACTGGTCCGGTTGGATATTATATGTATTTTGTTACTCCCTCCGTCCCACTATCACTTGTCCCATGTTTCCTTTGTCATTTGGCGCGCTAAGTTTGTCTCGTATTTGATAGTATTTGTGTCGTTCTAAATTCTAATTCTTTCTTTATTCACACTTTTTCATAACTTCACATTTCTCAATAATTGCACCACTCCCTCATGTCAGGATGGAGGTAGTATTATTTAATGATTGCTCGGTTTGATCTTGTTTTGTCTTTTCCATTTAAACTTTCCTGCTTTGATCTAGGAATGAGTTAAGTAAACATCCCCCCCCCTCCTTTTATTTGAGGTGGCTGGAAAAGTAATCCATTGATATAAATTATAAATAATTCTAAATATATTTTTGGTTTGTACATTTATTCTGTGCATTTGTTGTTGCCGTGTGTTTATCAGGTGATGAAAAGTTAGTCAATTTTTTTAATAATTTAGTTACCAGATGAATACTTGCCAAATAAGAATGTATACATCAAGCGTACTAAACAAATGTATATGTAAATATCACACTTTTGCATGAAAAAAGTTTACACATTACACACTTTAAACTCTTTGTCTTAATAAGATTTGATTGTAAAATAGCTTAGGTATATGCTTGTTTGATTGACTAAGTCTGCAGTGTGTGATAATGATAATTCCTTCATGTTTGAAGGACAGTTCATGGTGATTGCTTGTTCAGATTCTCGGGTTTGTCCTTCGATAGTCCTGGGATTTCAACCTGGAGAAGCGTTTGTAATCCGCAACATTGCAAATTTGGTGCCTCCTTATGATGTAAGTAATACCTTCAGTACAGAAAATACTCATTTTATATGTCTAATAAATTAAATCATAAGTTACACTTGCGATGTAATTAGTACATATGACTGTAGTTTGGATGTTGCTGCAGAATGGCCCTTCAGAAGTAAATGCTGCTCTTGACTTCTCTGTCAACACACTTGCTGTGAGTCAAATCTGCTGTTTTGCTGGATTCTCTACTACTCATATTTCTCTATTTATCATTTGATCGAGTCAGTGGTAATCTCTAATCAAAATTTGTTTATGTTTTGATGAACAAACTAAAAAAATTAAAAGCGAGAAAGAGGAGCACAAAATTTGGTTACCTTGTTCATTCGATAGACTATTCTGGGCATTGTCAAACCAGGGATTTTTACAAAGTTTCCGAGAGTTATACCCTGTTGAATGAAAATGAGTAATTAACATTTTTAATTCAACAGTTAATACAGAGCACTTCATAATATTTATAATTTTATAATACTTTTATATCTAGTACTTTATATCTAGTATTTCCCCATCATTTTGTTAGTATTTAATCAAGTGTAATTTAACTTGGATCGAACTCGAAGAAAGCCAAAAAACATTGAGACTAAAATGCACCGGAAACTAAAACTTTTACATTTGGGGTTCGGGTCCTAAAAGATGGCACCTCATTTTCCAGGGTTCCAAGGGCTCGTGTTGAACCTGAACCCCACCCATGCCCTCCCTAGTTGCTTGTATTTTTTTATGCTTCAACGTTTACACAAGCTCACTCTGCAGGTGGAAAATATACTAGTGATTGGACATAGCTGTTGTGGGGGCATTCAAACTTTAATGAGCATTGAAGATGAGATGGACTCAAGGTTTGTCCAAGAATGCCTTCTTCTTCCTCTTGCCAGTTTTCAGTCTAGTTATCTTTATATGTTTGGATCAGTTACGGTTTGCATTGCAGTAGCTTTCTTCATAATTGGGTCATTGTTGGAAAAACTGCAAGATCTCAAACCAAATCCATTGCCTCAAAACTGAGTTTTGACCAGCAGTGCAGGCACTGTGAGAAGGTGCACATTTTTCCTTACAAACCTGCAAATTTTACACCTTTTTAAGATTTTGTTTTCGGAGAGGGTAACATAGACAATTGGTTCCTCTACTTCCAGGAATCGCTCCACCTTTCACTGCAAAACTTGCTGACATACCCATGGATAAAGAAGAAGATGGTGGGTGGGGAGCTTTTGGTGCATGGGGGATACTATGACTTTGTTAATTGTACATTTGAGACATGGACGTTAGAGCGTAAGAAGAACAGCTCAAGTTTGGACAACCATTACTGTGTTCAAAACCGGGAATTCTGGAGTTGACTTTGCTGCCAATACCTCTTTACTTTTTTTAAATATAGCTGAAACAAACACCATCTTGGTATCCATTGTCATTCAACTCTTCAACTTATTTGTATGTACTCGTGAAACATTTTCATCAATGATACCATTACTTGGTGACTGTATGTTGATATTTGTTTGGAGGATCAATTTAAAGAAACGACTGAAATGTAGTGGTAGGTGGTGTTTTAGTAACTAACTGGAAGAACACTACGCATGTCCTGGTTTGAGAAGCAAGAAAAGTCTGCCTTAGATTAATATATGTGTGTGGTTACATCAATAACTTATCAATGGTCCTCTTGGGAGGGAAGTGAACTAACAACTCATCAAGTCTTCTATATATAAACTTATTGTGTTATATATAGACATCCAGGGGAGGAGGTGGAGGGGTGGCCAACCGGGCCCCGGTCCAACCCAAATTTTATTCCTGCCTACGCCCCTCTAGACATCAACCTTCACCCCATAAGAAATGGCTCAACCCTTCAACCCAACCCCTTTCTACGTCCAAAAGGTTGAATGCCCAACCCCAAGGCCCCCACCCCAACCCGGCAGGATGAGGTGGAGGTTAATCACGGTGATTCAGTCAGCAAAGCGGCAGTAGGTCTTTACCCGTGCGCACCAAAGGATCAACCTTATTTCAGGTTCTGAAAACCCCCTTTCGAACCTTGGTCTACGTCCAATTTTTCTCACCGCTCGATCAACTGAGTTACCCGTGCAGATTCCCAACCCCTTTCTTCTTCTATTTCATGTTGATTACTTTGTGATTAGTACACACAAACAGGATTCATGTATAGGAACGTAACCTTCTGGATATTCCTAGTATGTCCATGTTTCTGGGCCAGAAAATGGAAGTGCCTGAATTTCCTAAGCCTGAAATACCCGAATTTCTAAAACAGATGTTGCCAAAATTCCGATGTGCGAGATGCCAGCATTCCCAAAACCAGAACAGCCTGGAATCCCAAAAGTGATGATACCATCCATGGAAGAACCTGAATATACAACTGCAAAAGCCAGAAGTGCCTGAACTACCAAGAAAGCCATAATTCTACCCGCGAAGCCCATTTTTAAAAGTAGAAGGTTCTCTTATACTAACGGCTGAGGGAGGGTTAGCAAAAAAACAAAAAAACCGTGTTTCAGTGAATATGAGTATTTTCTAAGTTGAAATAAGTGTTTTTAATCACTTTTTTCTATCTTGTGTGCTCTAAATACATTTTTTTCAAAATCACTTTAAAAATCTACTTTTCTAAGTTTAAACACTATCAATATTTACCATTCTGTGTGCTCTAAATACAATTTTTTCAAAATAACTTTAAAAATCCACTTTTTTAAGTTGACTGAGAATGCTCTAAAGTCTAAATACAAAATGACCCTTCTAGCTTGTAAAGGTTTACTACGTATCTTTTGTTTATGATCTGCTTAAATTTCTAAGAACGTAATAGTACCAAAAAATGTACCAAGAGCCGGTAAGGAACAAGACATATATTTAAACATATTTCAAAAGGTATAGAGTCATACTTTTACAAGAATCATAATTTCGAATTGAGAGGTATTTTTTCTAACGGTCGTCACATACCATACATATGGTTATTTTTAACTATACTCGGGAGTCACGTCGCAACATCAAACTTTTAAATGAAAAAAGGGAGAACTATCAAATAAGTCTTCGAACTTACATAAAAAGTGTAAATCACCCCTTTTATAAGAGACTCTGTCCGGCCGTCACCATTTGGGGCGGTTCTCAGTGAAATTTTTTTAGCAGCTTATTCATTAAGTCTAGTTTACTCATACCAAATTTCAGCTAAAAAATCAATCAGGAAGGCAGTCAAATGAATTTTTGAAGATAACCGCGCAGTTAGACAGCGCGGTATATTTTAGACAATCATTTGACTGTCTTCTTGATAAATTTTTAGCTGAAATTTTTTACGAGTAAGCTAGACTTAATGAAGAATCATTTCATTTTCATTTACCCCGGTGCCGCAAAGGCTCCCACCTACGGTGGGGTAAGGGGGTCGGATGTACGCAGTCTTGCTCCTGTACTAAAGCACATCTAGACTTAATGAAGAATATGTTCACAAAGAATTCATCAAAAAATTCCAACAGAAAGCGTCTCAAATGGAGGCGACCGGATAGAGCCTCTTATAAAAGGGTTGATTTGCACTTTTTAGAGAAGTTCGAGAGCTTATTTGGTAGTTCTCTCAAGAAAAATTCTTAAATATATAAGAATAGAACATATCATAGTTTCTTAAGTAGGAATACCATTTTTTCCTCTTCCTAAAACATGATTCTAGTTTTGAAGAACTCTTATTATTTCATTCTTTTAATAGGACTAATAAGTTATATTATGAGAATTCTTTTGATAGTTTACTCTCGTTTGAGCCATTTCTTTAACTTTAATTAGGTTCTTTTACTACTGCAGTAGATAATTAATTATGTCACGTTTGGTTGTTGTTGTTATTATTATTAGATTATGTGGAAAATAGGTACATCTGTGATCTGCCACGTCAGTTGATTGTTTGTCAATTGTATATGGATAACTGGATAAGGTTTAAAAGTAGCCTAAAGATCAAGGCTTGATTAATTCGGAATAATTTTCATTGTTTACACTTTACACACGCCATGCATTCATGCCTTATTCGAGACCTTATCTGAGAAAATTAGCTTTACTGAGATGGAGGAATAGTTCGGCTTTAAGATTGAAATCCTTTAAGGGTCCTAAGAGTCAGACCCTGGAAACAGATTGTGGTGAACAGAAAGGCACTATGTTAACTCAGGGAGCTTCTGGAGTCTTTTTCACTAAGATGAAAGATCGTTTTTTGAACTTCAAGAAGGATAAATACTTGTATAAAATGCATTCCTAATCTGTTCCTTCATGTTTAGCAGTATGGGTGCCCAAAATATGATTCTTCCTTTCATTTCTTGAAATAGGGCCAATCTTGAACACTTTAGAGACCTTGCAAATGCCCAAGCACCAAAGGTAGGACTTCCACTTCTGCTTCGTGTTTTGGGAGATTTCTTGTATGTCCAAGGAACTTTTCATTTGAGTGAGGTTTACTAATTTGAATTAGTCTAATCTAATCTGTTTAAGTTTGTTTTGATCTGGTGAAGAGTTCAAGTATGACATCTTCTTGTTTGTTTGATAGTTTATGTACTTCAATATTATTTAATGTTTTTCTTATCGAATTTGGTATGATCTGATTTATTAAAATTTGTGTTATTTTGGTTTTAGGGTTGAATTCAGTCAAAGTGGAAAGGTCCTAAAACAATGTTGCTGCCCCAACCCCATTTTTTTAATTAGAGGGCTGGATAAGCAATGCATTAATATAAATTTTCAATAGCTCTAATGGTACATTTTTAGTTGGCATGTGTTGATTAGGCGATCAAAAGTTATTCAATTTTTCATCACCAATGAATACATGTCAATTTTTCCATCATTTGCAATGGAGCCAAAGATTCATTATTTTTTGGCTTGAGATTACGATGGAATAAAGCAAAATGGCTCACTAAACTGTCTGCGCTTCTTTGTTATGGAGCAGCAGTCAGTCCATGCAATTTTGGACGCCATTTTCACTATGGGTCATCCGGAAACAGTCTCTATCTGCTTTAGTACAGAGTTAAACTGCGTACATTCGACCCCCTACCCCACCGTAGGTGGGAGCCTTTGCGGCACTGGGGTAAATGAAAATGATGAATGAATGAATACATGTCAATTAACAATGCACACATAAATTTTACACGAAAAAGTTTACAAACAAATATACAGTTGTGGACTACTTGACTAGAAGCCATAAGTCTTACTACGTAATACAATTTGATTCTCAAATACTTGGTATATGCTTGTTTGATTGAATAATAAATCCTTCAGTATGTGATCCGGAATATTCCTTTGTGTTTGAAGGACAGTTCATGGTGATTGCTTGTGCGGATTCTCGGGTTTGTCCTTCAATAATCCTGGGATTTCAACCAGGAGAAGCGTTTGTAATTCGCAACATTGCAAATCTGGTGCCTCCTTGTGTGGTAAAGAATATCCCTTAGTGCAGTAAATACTCATCTTTTTATGAATAATAAATTACATCATAAATTACACTTATGATGTAATTATTACATATGAGTATGATAAAATTAGGAATAAATTTGGAGAAGAGTTTAATTGATGTATGAAGAAGAGTTTAATATATGGAGAGATACTTCTCCTTCGTATCTTTATTGAACAATGCATATGCCATATTTATAGCATACATGCATGGCAGATGATTACAAGAGAGAGAATACAACTTGCATGGGTCATGCAAGTAGGCATGCAGTACAAGCCAACTTATTACATGTGTGATAATATATAATAAGAATATAATAAGAATATTAAAAATACCAAATATCTCAATACTCCCCCTCAAGGTGGAGTGTGAAGATTACGAACATCCAACTTGCTTCGAAGATAGCGAAAATGATCTGTCCCAAGTGCTTTAGTAAAAATATCGGCCACCTGATTACTCGTGCAGATAGACAATGGTCTAATTTCATTACTAGCAACCCTCTCTCGGACGAAGTAACAATCTATTTCAACGTGTTTGGTACGTTCATGAAAAACCGGGTTAAGCGCAATATGTCGGGCGGCTTGATTATCACAATAGAGCGATGTAGGGCTCACTTGAGGAACTGTGAGATCTTTTAGTAACCATCGTAACCACAAAATTTCACTAACTGTGACGGCCATAGCTCGGTATTCTGCTTCAGCAGAAGAGCGAGAGACAACAGACTGTTTCTTCGTTCGCCAAGATATGGGTGAATTACCAAGGGTGATGAAATAACCAGTACTGGATCGACGAGTGAAAGAGCATCCTGCCCAATCAGCATCACAATAGCCTTGCAGGGTGAAGTCCTCTTCAGAAGACAAGAATATACCCTGTCCTGGTGTTTGTTTTAAATACCGTAGTACCCGTATGGCAGCGTCAAGATGCGTTTGTCTGGGGGTGCCAAGGAATTGACTGAGTTGACTTACAGAATAAACAATGTCTGGACGAGTGACAGTCAGATATAGTAGCCGCCCAATAAGTCGTCGGTAGGAAGAGGCATCCACTAGGGGGCTATCATCGTCCGGTCGGAGCTTTAAATTCTGTTCCATAGGGGTTTGACTAGGGCGACCTGCCAAAAGACCACACTCTTCCAAAATGTCAAGAGTGTACTTTCGTTGACTCAAGACAAAACCTTCAGGGGAGCGAGCAACTTCAATACCGAGAAAGTATTTAAGTTTTCCCAAGTCTTTGATACTGAATTCGGTATCCAAATACCCCTTTACCATGTTAATATGAGTAATGTCATTTCCAGCTAGGATCACATCATCTACGTAAATGAGGGCAAAAGTCGTAACATGGCCCTGTCGGAAGGTGAAAAGTGAATAATCTGCTTGGGATTGACGGAAACCAATTTTGGTGAGAGCTTGAGTGAATTTATGATACCAATTACGGGATGCTTGCCGTAACCCATAAAGAGATTTTTGTAACTTGCAAACGCGGGTGTCACCAACTTTTGCGAACCCTTGTGGAATACGCATGTAAACATCTTCAGAAAGATCCCCATGAAGAAAGGCGTTATTGACGTCCAGTTGATGTACTACCCATTTGCGTTTGGCTGCAACTGCCAGAATACAACGAACGGTAACTAATTTGGCAACTGGAGCGAACGTCTCATGAAAGTCAACTCCCTCAATTTGTGTGAAGCCTTTCGCTACCAACCTAGCTTTGTAACGCTCCACATCTCCATCAGGTTTATATTTAATTTTATAAACCCATTTAGAGTCAACAACTCTTTTTCCCGGGGGTAATTGAACTAAATTCCAGGTCTGATTTTCTTCTAATGCATTGATTTCTTTTCTCATTGCTTCTCGCCAAAGAGGATCCTGTACAGCTTGTGAAAAATGTTTTGGCTCATCACGTGACGTGATGGCTGCCAAAAAAGCTTTATGTGTGGGTGAGAATTTTTCATAACAAATGAAATCACAAAGAGGATATACCGAATGGGCACTGGACTGTGAATGATCGAGTGATGGAGGCAAATTGATTTCATAATTATCAAGATGTTTCGGTAGTCTTCGATTCCGATCACTCCTCTTTGATTGAAACAAAGGCGTAAAGCATGAAGATGGGACGCTGGGAACGGCGGGTAAACTGGGTCCAGGTGCGTCAATTGATTGATGTTCTGTGGTGAGTGGAATGGCACTTTCAGCCTGTAGCTCATTAATTGTTTTAGAGCTGGGACCATATTGGTCTGATTCACGTACATCCGGAGCCACAACGAAGGGTCGCTGCAGCTGTTCATTGTGGGGTAGCCGCTCCTCAGGCGGTGCTAGGTTGGTCGGTCCAGCTGATGTGGGCACGTCGTCCAGCTGAAGTCTTTCTGGTGAGTCACGCGCAGGAGTCCGCATATGTCCAGAAATTCCATGAGGTGTTTGCTTACGGAGGTCACTCGATTCTACCAGTGTGGGTCCGCTGGTATATTGTTGAATATGTTGCTGCCTTCCAGGTTCGTGAACCTCATTCTGTGGCTGATTTCTTTGCACTAAAGTGGGGTCATGATTAATTTGCCCATCTTGTTCTCCATGGGTCATTATTGAGTGACGAAAATAATTCTCTCTTGAATTGACATGCTGTAGTGGAGGACATCCATGATTTATTGTGTGGTTGTAAACCTTTTGAATAAGTGATGAGAACTCAAGCTCCTCATTGAAGGTAATTTTAAAAGGGAATTTATCTTCATAAAACACCACATCTCGAGAGCTGTAAACTGTCTGTTTTTGCAAATCAAAAATCCGATAAGCCTTTTGACCATTAGGGTAGCCAATAAAAATGCCAGGACTCCCCCTTTCACTAAATTTATCCTTTCGTTTGTTATCATGTCCATACGCCAAACAACCGAACACCCGTAGATGATCATAACTAGGCACTTTTCCAAACAACATTTCAAAAGGACTTTTGTTAAGAATAACTGGTGAGGGGAGTCTATTAATAATATAAACAGCAGTTAAAACACATTCTCCCCAAAAATTAATAGGCAATCCTGATTGGAAACGAAGCGCCCTTGCAACTTCCAATATGTGTCTATGTTTACGTTCGACAACCCCATTCTGTTGCGGTGTGTCAGTGCAGGACGTTTCTAATAATATCCCACTGCGTCCATAAAAATCAACTAAAATGTTTGTCTGGAATTCCACACCATTATCGGCTCTTATTCGTTTGACCTTTTGCTCAAATTGAGTATCAACCATGTTGCAAAATTGGATTAAAAGCTGTGGGACTTCGGATTTATTTTTCATTAAATAAACCCAAACACCTCTAGTAAAATCATCAACAATAGACAGAAAGTACCGTGCTCCGGAGATTGAATCGCATCTATAAGCTCCCCAAATATCACAATGTATCAATTCAAAGCACCGAGTTGTCTTAATTGCACTTGTAGGAAATGGTAGCCTGGTCTGCTTAGCTCGAACGCAAGGATCACATAAATTATTGTCTCGCCGGAAACCCTTGAGGGAACTAATGTGATGTAACTTTCCATCGGATGCATGACCCAAACGTTGATGCCACAAGTCGGGGGTAATACAGATTGACATTGCTACCCCTTCTTTCCTTGGGGATTCCAGAAAATAGAGACCGTCATGGAATTTACCCACGCCAATCAATTTTCTTGTGGATAAATCTTGTAAAACACAGAAATCTGTGAAAAATGTTAGTGTACAATTTAGATCGCTTGTTAGGCGACTAACCGAAAGAAGGTTGCACTGGAATTTCGGAATGTATAAGACGCGCTTAAGGTAAAGCCCATTTGGTAAGTATAAACTACCAATAGCATGGACCGGAATAGATTCACCATTAGGGATTCTGACTGACGACGGCTCAGGTGTGAGATTGATGATATTAAAAAAATTAACATCACTGCAAGTGATATGTTCGGTAGCTCCGGAATCAATTATCCAAGGACGAGCATGTGGCAATTTATATGCCATATTCACTTGTGAAGAGAAAGAAGAAATCATAGCCAGGATTTCGGCTCTGATACCATGATAAAATTAGGAATAAATTTGGAGAAGAGTTTAATTGATGTATGAAGAAGAGTTTAATATATGGAGAGATACTTCTCCTTCGTATCTTTATTGAACAATGCATATGCCATATTTATAGCATACATGCATGGCAGATGATTACAAGAGAGAGAATACAACTTGCATGGGTCATGCAAGTAGGCATGCAGTACAAGCCAACTTATTACATGTGTGATAATATATAATAAGAATATAATAAGAATATTAAAAATACCAAATATCTCAATAGAGTATAGTTTGGATGTTGCTGCAGAATGGGCCTTCAGAAGTAAACGCTGCTCTTGACTTCTCAGTCAACACACTTGGTGTGAGTCAATTCTGCTGTGTTGCTGGGTTCTCTATATTACTCATATTTCTTGATTTATCATTCAATCAAATCTGTAGTAATAAAGTGCTCTTCTCTCCCAAAGCGATATGCAAAAATATTTTTCTAGCTTAATACACCATCTTTTTAGTATCTAATTTGGTGTATCAATGTTTGCCATTTTTTAATTTGGTTTTTGCAATTAGATATATAAATGTTCAGTACAAATAAAAAGTAAAATGTTACTAGTAGAGAATCAACTCTATTCAATCAACCTTGTAAACCGTTTTTAAACATATTTTTTGTGATGGGGGTGCATGACGTTTGAACAATGGTACATCATTTTATTACTATTGGTTAAGCACTTATGGGATAGTAGAACACCAGTTCCAAACAAGCCTATAGCTTGGCTGGTTTAAATCTTTTGTGCTTAGAATGGAATTTGTATATGTTTTGATGAACAAACTGAAATAATCAAAAGCGAGAAAGATAAGCGCAATAATTTGGCAACCTAGTTCGTCCTATTGACTACTCTAGGCACTTTGGAGTTTCAAGCCAGAGTTTTTTACTAAGTTTCTCAGAAATACATCATATATACTTGTATGTGGGAAGTAGTATTTATAATTTGTTTTTTGCTGCAGATACTTTATTATATCTGTTTGTAAAATATTTTTAATATCAAGTAGATAATTTTACTTGCTTGATGCCTTGATGGAAATGCATTTTTGTGTAAGATACAATTTTTCATCATTTTGTTAGTAACTTTATCTTCGACCGAACTCGATGAAACCCGACCAAAAACACTTAAACTAAAATGCACCAGAAACTAATTTTTCACATTCGGGTCCTAAAACTTGGCACCTGATTTTTTCTGTGTTCCTAGTAATGGCTAGGGTTGAACCTGAACCCCACCCATGCCCACCCTAGTTGCTCATATCTTTTAAGTTTTGCACAAGCTCAATCTGCAGGTTGAGAATATACTAGTGATTGGACATAGCTGTTGTGGGGGCATTCAAACTTTAATGAGCATTGAAGATGAGATAGACTCAAGGTTTGTCCAATAATGCCTGCTTCTTTCTTTAGCCAGTTTTCAGTGTAGCTAGCTTTATGTTTAAATCAGTTATGGTTTGCACTTTGCATTGCAGTAGCTTTCTTCATAATTGGGTCATTGTTGGAAAAACAGCAAGATCTCACACCAAATCCATTGCCTCCAAACTGAGTTTTGACCAGCAGTGCAGGCACTGTGAGAAGGTGCACATTTTTCTTTAAAAACCTGCAAATTATACTTCTTTTATAGGTCTTGTTTTGGGAGAGGGTAAAGACAGTTGGCTCTTCTCCTTCCAGGAATCACTCCACCTTTCACTACAGAACTTGCTGACATACCCATGGATAAAGAAGAAGGTGATGAGTGGGGAGCTTTTAGTCCATGGGGGATACTATGACTTTGTTGACTGTACATTCGAAAAATGGACTTTAGAGCTTAACAAGAACAGTTCTAGTTTGGACAACCATTACTGTGTTCAAAACCGGGAATGCTGGAGATGACTTTGCTCCCAATTACTGTGTTCAAAACCTAGATTAAGCTGAAACAAACACCCTCTTGGTATCCATTGTCCTTAACTCTTAAACTTATTAGCATGTACCCATGAATCATTACTTGGTATCTGTTAAGAAGATTAGTTTAATTAAAGGACTGAAATGGTAATGGTAGGTGGTGTTTAGGTAACTAATTGGATGACATTACTTATGTCATGGTTTAAAAGCAAGAAAAGCCTGCCTTAAAGATTAATATATGGGTGGTTACATAAATAACTTCATAAGAGGGCAGTGAACTAATAACTCATCAAGTCTTCTATATATAAACTTATTGTCTTACATGCCAAAGACATCAACCTTCGCCCCATAAGAAATGGCTCAACCATTCAACCTTACCCCTTTCTTCTTGTATTTCATGATGATAACTTTGTCATCAGTCCACACAAACAAGATTCACGTAAAGGCGCGTAACCTTATTGAGATTCCTTATATGCCCCAGCTACCGGGTCCTGAACTCGAAGTCCCTGAATTTCCTAAGCCCGAAATACCTGAATTTCTTAAACCAGTGTTGCCGAAAATTCCGAAACGAGAGATGCCAACATTCCCAAAACCAGAACAGCCTGGAATCCATCAAGTGATGATTCCAATCATGCCAGGGCCTGAAATTCCAACTCAGCAAAAGCCAGAAGTGCATGAACTACCAAGAAAGCCATAATTCCATGATAATATCATATGTTGCTCTGGTTAAAGTCCTATTGCATGTTTGGTGTTCCATAACCCTTTACTTCTTAAGTTTTATGACTTCATTACACTTGTATATTTCACATTGCTACAAAAAGTAATATTTTTATTTATAATGTGGATGTTGTTTGGTTTTCTCAAACCCAATCATTCACTAGGGAAAATGCAATATTAAAGTAAAAGAGAAGCATATAGGTTTCATCATATACGCACAAACGGGCATGGCTTCTCTATATGTCCCGAAAGAAAGGGATTGTTGGGTGAAATTTATATTCTGTGAGAGGGCGAAAATATGGGGTCGAAGTGTCGGATCAGAAAAATCAGTGTAAATTTTTCTGAAAAAATTCAATTTTTCGACAAACTGTTTGTATACATAGACAGTTGTATAAAAACTTTTAAAAATAGAGCATCTAGATAGATTTTTTCTTAGAAAATAGTTTTCTAAGTTAGATACTCCCTCCGTCCGAAATAACTTTTCTGCTTTCCTTTTTGGTCCGTCTCAAAATAATTATCTTGTTTACCTTTACAACAACTTTCTTAAAACTTATGCTAAAGCAAACAAGATCTATGCATTTTAATTTATTTTCTTGAAATGGAGATTGTTTCGAATTTAGAGAGACTAAGAAGAATGGGGAAAATATATTTCAGAAATGGAAGAAAAATGCAGTACCCTAAAATAAAAATAGCTATATTTGGAGTGACTAAAAATATACTAGTATTTAGAAGTATTAAAAACATATTTGTGCAAAACTCTTGTCCATGTGTTTCATCCTTGAAATTAATATTTCAAGTTATATAAACCAAAAACTCCAAGACGAACTAATCATTTATTAAATGCTAATTAAATATAATAATTACTAAATACAAAATGACAAAAAACCCTATCCAAAATATGCAGTGCAAATTGACATAAATAGAAACGATGCTTGTGAAGTTCAGAATCACTTGCTCGTACACCATCCAAATTAAAGGTCATGTGCACTGGAAAGAAAACAAACACAAATCAATTTGTTGCAAGCATGACAACTATTCTCACTTCCCATTGAGCCTTTCTATGACAGTGATTAGTCCTTGAGTTCCAAGCTTTCCATCCCCATTAGCCACCATTCCTGAAAAAAGTTGTTTTCCTAATGCAGCACCAGGCAAGACCACCACAATTTCCTCCTCCCCAACATCCACACCCATTCCCATGTCCTTCACCATGTACTCTGCAAAACCACCAGCCCCATAGTCCTTCTCAATCATCCTCTTCCCAAATAACTCCATGACCATCGACCCGGCCGCTCCACCCCTGATCGCCTCCAAGAACTCGCCTTTATCCAGCCCTGCCTTCTCTGCAAAAACCAAACCTTCACTCAACCCTAACAAGTTTGCTCCCACGCTTATCTGATTCGCAATTTTACAACTCTGTCCCTTTCCTGGACCACCCATGTAAGTCACCGTCCCCATGATATCAAACAATGGCTTCAGCCATTTCACCACATCTTTATTTCCAGCGGCAAAAATGGACAGTTTCCCTTCTTTTGCTCCTATATCTCCTCCCGAAACCGGAGCATCAACTGCCCAGCATTCCTTCTCAGCTGCGCAGTCGGAGATTCGCCTGGCTAGCTCTGGGTGACTGCTGGTGTGGTCCACTATGACGGCGTTGGGATTGAGGGAGGAGAGAACGCAGTCCGGTCCCTCTAAGACAATTTGTCGAACATCTGGTGGGTGTCCCAGGACGGTGAATACGACATCACTGTGTCGAGCGACGTCTGCGGGTGATTCTACTAAAAATGCACCTTGGGATTGAAGAGTGGCCGCCTTTGAGGACGTCCGTGCGTAGAGAGTGACGGTGTAGCCGGCGGATAAAAGGCGGGACGCCATTGCTCCGCCCATCACGCCTATGCCTATCCATCCTATGCGGGTTTGAGGCGGACATACGGGTTCTGGGTACATGAATATTGCTTGTAATAAATTCGAACTCTGGATTTAAGGTTGAGATCAGATTTCATTCATGTACCCAGAAATCATATCTTGAGCTCAGATCCTCGATAGAATGACGGAAGAGAACCAATTTATTCAAGAACCATTTCATTTTTTTACGACATTAAAAAATAGGAGTACCATGTGTTTTGAATAAGAATAACTTTATTGTTTGGACAAGTATACCCCTATTCAAGCCCCAACAACTTTTAATTAAATGTTTAATTAATACTATCGTAATAAATTCGAAAAAAATTCAAAAAATCGTAGAAAAATAATTAAAAAATTTATAAAATATTAATAAAATAAATTTAAAAAAAATATTTTTTAATTTTTTATTTTTTTAAAAAAAGTAATAAAAAATAGTAAAACTCCATAAAAACAATTTAAAAAATATGGATGCCTTTCCCACCGCTTGTACTACCTCCCTGCACCACCACCTCCAGGCGGTGAAAAAAATTCTATTTTTCCTAAAAACTGCCTTTTTTCTGAAAATGCCAAAAATATGGCATATTTCTCTTTGCGAATGTCAACATTTTCATTGTTTTCTACCATAAATATGGCATTCGTAATGAACTTGGAATTTTTTTCCCTTGGTGACTGGAGGTGGTGGTGCTGAGGCGGCAGAGGCGGCGGTGAATTTTATTTTATTTTTTTGAGTTTTTTATTTTTTTAATTTTTTTTTATATTTTTTTATTTTTTGAAAAATAAATAAATAAATAAATTATTATTATCGAATAAGTCATAAATTAACTATGGTAGGATTGAATAAGTCATATTTTAGAATTAACTGGGTTAGGGATATTAAGGGTACAAAATTAATGTTTACTACTATTGAAAGAAGTTTTAAGTTTTACTCATATTTGTGCAATTATGTTTATATTTACTCCTATATTGGGCAATTTCTATTATTTTAAAAGCCTTTATTATAATTTTTCATATGTTTTCCGTTTTTCATAAAAAAATACTCCGTATACGGAGTATATTTAAATTCACAACGTTTTGTGATCTTTCATATGACAGTGATGTCGTATCATATGTGAAGTTATTTTTATTAAAAGTTTGAATTATTGAAACTTATTCGAACAAACTTTTTTCAAGTAGATTCAAGTACTAAAATTAAAATCACATGAGTAATGACATTTCTATTTTAGATTTTCAAGCGTTTTTACTAATATTTCGAGAATATTTCCTTTTTATGTAATACGGAGTATTTGATAGGTATATTTCCTAAAACTAAAAGCTACACTTGACTAATTAGGTGTCAAATAAAAAGAAGTAATGTTCCATTTGATTAGTACTCCGTAGTAAGTATTAAGTTTTATGTTTCCAAAAAAATCAAAAATATTACTAAAATAAAATCCATTTATAGAAATATGATTAATAATTATTACAATGTTTAAATTTCTCGCATTGTAAATTAAATTTAAATTGAAAATAAATTACTATGATTCATTACTACTTTTTTGTAAATAATCATTATTTGAAAATAATCATTATTATTATTATTATTATTATTATTAATAATAATAATAATAGTAATAATAATAATAATAATAATAATAATAATAATAACAATAACAACAACAACAACAACAACAACAAAAATAATACGGAGTAGTACATTTTTGTAAATAATCATTATTTGAAAAAAAGGAATAAGTCTTCCTCTTAAACATTTTAATTTGTTGAATGTGTAGTTCATGTATAATGATGGTTTACAATTTTACATTAAGTATTTGCCCTAAGGCTATGTTTGGCACGCATAAGCATATGTCTTGTAGCTTTTGTACTGTTCAAAAAGTCTCAAAAAGTTTCTAGTTTTATATTTGGTATGACAATTTATAAGAGCTTTTCAAAAATTAAAAGATTTTTTTGAGATGCTACAGGGAGTAGCATATGAAAAAAACTCATGACTTTTAGTATTAATTAGTCCTAACAGCTTGTATACCAAATCGAACTAAATCAAACAGTCAACTTTTTACCAAACAGCTACCATTTTTTCTCTTTAAGATCTTTTCGGTCACTAAAAGCTAACAGTTATTAAAAAGCTTACAAAAGTATCTTTTCAGCTAGTTGTGCCAAACATACCCTAAATATGACTTAAATAATGAGAAAGTTTCCAAATAGGAGTAGTCCCTAATTTATTCTCCAAATAGGACTAAATTTGATAGTCTTCCGGTTGTGCCCTTCTCTCCCCATTCTTAAGCACGTCTCCCTCTCTCCTCATTCTCACGCACATCTCCCCTCTCTTTCCTTTCCCATCGCCTCTCTACTTCACCTTCTCCGTCCAAATCTTCTTTCATTTCTATCGATTCTTCATTCACTTTCGCCGCCACTCTTTACCAGTTCAACCTCCACCAGTTTCATCCATCTTCAACGATTTCTGATCGCCATTCCAGTTATATGAGGTAATTGATTCGTGTTTGTTCTTTGTCTTCTTCATCTACTCATCCTCAATCTCCTTTCCTTACCCTTTGTTTTTAGTCTCCACTCTCCATGTTCTTCTTTTTATTATTCAGATCTTGAAATAAAAAATTACATTTTAGATCTAAAAATTTTGAATATGAAAAGGCAAGGCTTCAATTTAACAATGGTTATCGGAACTTTTTTGGTTTCAACTTTTTCTATTAATTTTGTTTAATTTATTTTAAAAAATAGAAGTACTTTTTCTAATCATCTGAAATCACAAAATGACATAATCGAGTATTGCTTTGAAAATTGCCATCTAATGCCATTATTAGGCACTGCCATGTTTTTGTTGTTTGGTAATTAGTTCCATTTTTATGGCACTAATTAACTTTATGGATAAATATTAATTTTAATGTCTTGTTTTTGTAGCAGTTAATGCCATGTTTTATCTAAAAATTTCATGACTTTTTAATCTCAAAATGCCATATTTTGGATCCTGAAAGTCATAATATATTATGTAGATAACAATTATATTAGAGATGAGGCGGCGGAAACAGCGAAGGCGGTGATGGTGGTGGCGGCGGCAACAACGCGACGGCGGTAGATGAGCCGATAGGGTGTGGTAGAAGCGACAACAACGTTTGATGAGGCGGCCGACAACGACAGAGGCCGACGGCGACGGCGGCGACTACGGCTAGTGGCGGCAGTAGAGATGTGGTGGTTGTGCCCTAGGTAGCAGTTGTGCGGTCTACTTGTTTGTCCACGGTAATATTTGGTTTAATTATTTTGTTTGAATAATTAATAAAGAAATCATGCTATCATTAAGGGTAATTTTGTCACACCCTTATCTTTAGCTCCTACATAAGATGAAGGTCTTATTTTTGCACTTTTGTACTATTTTACTCCTATTGTGGTAATTTACTCTGATTTACAATTTTACATTTAGGTCAGCTCATTTCCGAGACTATCTTTTCTCAAACTAATTACAAAATCGATTTTTCTGAATTAACACAATTTTATTTTATTTACCTATTTAGCATACTATATTTTAATTTAAATTTCGTGACTATAGAATTTTCAATATAACTCATGTAACTTTTATAACCTTTAATGATTAAACATCATCTCCAATCAACCTTAAAACACTCAAATGGGAAATCGATTCACGATAGAGAAAATAATAAAATACAGCAGCGTAACCGGAATTCGAGAAATAAGAGAGAAAATCGGGAAAATGCTAAGTAAGATCGAGCGTAAAATTCAGCAACGTAACAACAAGTTTGCACAGAGAATTTCGAATCTATTTCCACAAGTTGGAAAGTGATATTTATACTAGAAGATAATATTTGGTGTCCAAGTTTAAAAAGATGATATTCTACTGTGGTGAAGACGCGTGTCACACCTGTCTAACATAACAAACAAACTAATCTAATAAAATGGTGACACGTGTAAAGTTGATTGAAGAGATGATTATCACACTTGGCTTATTGGTACTGTATGAAACGAATTTGTACCAAAATACACGTTTGGGTTACACCTTACACATGTGTTATCTGGAATATTTCTTATTTTATCTTCTGGAGTGACGTGGCGCTTTGCATAGTGTTGGTGACATGGTGTAGTTCTGCGTGGTACTTGGATTGTTGAAATGCCTAAGTCCATGTTTGGTGAATGGGACCCTGAGCTCCAGGAGGTCGAAGCTCGGGTATAGCGTATTTGCTTAGGGAGGCAATCCTGGTCTTCGGTTTATCCAGTGATGGTCATTTCTTTGTTCTTGTTTAATTCTCGTCGACATCCGTAACTCCATTGACTTAGCGTGTGTGTCCGGGGTCAGATCCGGTATCGACCTCAGTGTGTATGAGATCGGCCTCATATTTCATCATATTTGGGTGATCTGCGAGCTCGATGTCTGTGCCGAACACGGTGGGTCGAGGTCGGCCTCGGACGAGATTCCATACTTTGTTGATTCGTCGTTTTGTGTCTGGTTCCGACCTCGTGCATCGAGGTCGGCCTCGGCTAAAGCTTCGTGCTTAAGTATTTGATGCATAGCTGGAAGTCTTTGCCCGTCAATCGTGATCAACTGGGGTATATGGGAATATACTTCATCACATATATCCTTTGTGATGCCAAAAATGTTCATCTTTATTATAAAAAATGATTTGAAAATAGGAAAAATTGAAATTTATAATCCCAACTATTGTCGGTCCGCTGATAATAATCCCAACTATTGATTATTTTTGTATAATCCCAATTATATGTATCGTCCGTCAATAATGGTCCATGGTCATATATTACCTCCTATAAAAAGTGAATTTTAAATAGAAATTAAGTGTAAAAAATAAAAGTTGAGATTATTTATAGGGATTACTTGCTATATCACTCCTCATCCACTTTAGAAACTACATGAATGTATTTATAGGGACCACTATTGGCAGAAGGTCCCTAAAATTGGGATTATTCTAAAATAATCCATGGTTGGGATTATTATGGGCGGATCGCCAATAGTTGGGCTTATTACTATCAATTTTTCCTTGAAAATATTGACATAGAAAACAACATCGACAAAATAAGCATTTGGACGAATGTGATACAGTCATCTTAGTGAATATCTGCTCAAATAAGGATACAAAAAATGGTCCAATCACTTCATGTATTTCTTCATTCATCTATCTAATTTGAGATTCTCATAATTATGAAATTGCTAATGAAATATAAGCTAATGAAATATTGAAAAAAAAATTAGAACATTATTGAAATTGCTAATGAAATATAAGCTACTGTAAAATATTTCATAAAAGAATTTGTGATGAAAGATCTTAAAAGAATTATTTCAAAAAAAAAATC